TGTACAGCCACCGTCTTATCTAAGAAGTCTCACAGAAAACAGGCTCTTTATCACACTGGATTTTAAGATTTGACTCATTTCACTAATATTTGTCTTTATTCATTGAAGGACAATAGTAACTGACTCAAAGTGAAGCTTAGTGCTCTGGTGATTTCAGGAGTTTACTTTACGCTTGCTTCTTGACAAAAGAGGCAACATTTTAGGTTTCACAAAGACGTTTTTAATTATGCGGAGGGTAACACCTTTTCTTTTACAGAGATCGTGCCAACTCGTCCATTTCCAAACATTAAATCGAGCAGATGTCAGAAGCACAGTTTAATCAAAGCAGAAACATGCAGGTGTGTATGAAGGCAGTTGGTTATAATGCTTGAGGGTGACTGAAAGAGGAAGCGTACACAGTGGGAGTTTAATTTTACTCTTCATTTCTACAAGAGAGTTGTAGTGTTTTCAGTTCACAGCATGTGAAGTTGAGTTTCTTTCCTAAAACCCACAGTCAAAGGTCTTTTGTGGTCTGTGGGTTCACTAGAAGTCCAGAGACTCATTCAAACATCCAAAACTTCCAAAGTTAATCATTGATTAACTCAGTGGATTAGAAATGAATGTAGCATCCTGTGTAGGTAGTTAAAGGTTAATGTGACGGTTGCGGTCTACAGTCGCGAGGTAGACCTCACACACACCACATCAAAAAGGCGCTGTACTGCTGAAATGCATTCGAATAAGGGAAAACCCTCACGCCACCCAAAAGCAGCCTGCGAGCTCTGCTCAGTGGGTGGGTGCCGTTTGTGGAGTATCAACTGGGTTTCGTTTGTAAGAAGTAAATTTCCAGAAGCCGACAAACACAATGAGCCGTTATCAAAAGAGAATCAGCAAAAATCCCCATAATCCTCACGTCTGTGAATAAAGGGCCAATTCAAAGTTTGGTGAAAGGATGATGGTTGCTACACTTCAGGGTAATGGTTATGCACACAGTTCAAGAAATCTTTGTTGTTTGACATTATCATCGCACGCCATTTCTAGCCCTCTGTGTTTGATTTTGATGGCGTCACCTCAGACTTCAGCCATCTGACCATCTTCTAACAACTAACAGGCTGATCAATAGTGAAAACAACGGGCAGAAGCAGCCGCACATTAATAATCACCAAAAAAAAAACAAAAAAAAAAAACAACCCCCATTGCAGATACATTAGAAATATTGGGTCAATATCATTTGGCTGTCTGCCTGCCTGCCTGCGGATGGTGTGCTTTGATTATCATTTCTCATGCCCAATACATGTGCTGTGGACGGGAGCTGATAGCTGGAAAGAGTCTGGCTTCAATCCTGAAACAAACGTGCAAAAGAACGAGGAGACTGAGACGGCACAGGCTGACATTAAAAGGCCTCCCTCCGAGGCTCGCCGTTCCCAGAGGAATCACAGCGAGGCTCACATTCCCCTGACATAAAAAAAATATATACATAAAAATAACAAAAAACCCCAAACTGGAGCGCTGTCCACGCATGCACCGCATAAACTCCCTCAGGACAACAACATGATCAGCATACAACCAGCTAGCTCCAGCCTTTCCCCGCTCTCGTTCCAGTAGGACCTCGCGAGTGACGTTTCGTTTGCTGGTGCTCATGTAGCGCTAAAGGTCTCCCAGCTCCACCCTCATGGACTACAGCTGGTAATAAGAGTCCTTCCCCATCCAGTTTGCAAGAAAATCCCCAGAATAAAACAAGCCCTGCCAATTTTAGTCATAGACGATGAAGGAGCAGCAGGGGTTTGCTGTCATTTAATTAAAAATAGTAAAAACACAACTTCCAGGCCCGAAAGCAATGTCTAAACTTCTCCAGTCGTTACAAGTTACAATGTAAGATTTTTGAAGTATTAAACACAAATTAATGGATTTTACTGTAACGCTGACCAGATGCATGAGTTTAAAGGCAGATAAACTGTTTTCCTGCACAACTTTAAATACTTTGGAGGTTGCATAAAGTCTGGAGCAGTTAAAATGTTGTCTGCAACATGTTTTATGATGACACTGGTGAAAGCCATAAGCTGAAATAGCTTGGTCAAGCAGATTTTATATGTGCAACAAGTGTTTCTGGAGCATAACCAGCTTTTCGCTTTACTTAACCATGTATATAAAATATAACTTTTTTTTGTGCTTAAAATCTGCAAGAGCCCCTGTTGAGAGTAACAGCAGAGGCTTATAATCAGAGACTGCTCAGCATCTTTAAACTGCCTGTCTCTGTCTTGAGTTTGACTGAAAAAAAAAATTTAAAAAAAGTCAGCTGAAAGTGATATAACCAGAATTGGAGGGTTTTTATGGTCGACTTCTGCCCTGAATGCATTCATATAGTTCCCGTTACAGCTGCCAGAGTATGCAGTGGTTGGAAAAGGGTGGAGGGAGTCCGGGGGATCGGATTTGACTGCACTCCGTCGTGGGCAGGAAGGACAAAAACCTCCTCTCTCTGTGTGCCAACATTCCTGGGCCCAAAGGGATTTTATAGACCAGCGGGCAGCAAAGCAGGAACCATTATTACATCCTAGTCATAGTATTTATCAAGCACCACCCTGCACCCAATCATGCAAAGGAGACAAAAAACTAGCCTTAAAAACCTGCTTCATTCTGGTGCAAATGATCGGAGGGGGCTGCAAAACCAGTCACATTCCAACAAGTTCTAACAAATGGGCTCCAGAGGCAACAAGCTAAGGGTTTGATGGGGCAACATGGATTAACTCCAGCAAAGAAGACTTTTCTTACCCCGATTAACCACCACAATTTCAACTTCAAGGACATGTGTTAAATTAAATCATAAAAACTGGACTTCTATTTCCATAAAGATGAACGATACCCTTATTAAAGGCCAAACAAGCTCATCTTTCAGCCTCTTAAACAAGATGTTGTTTTATTCTGTCTCATATCATAATTGAAGGCATGTGTTTGGAGTTCTCTCAACATTTTTGACATTTCAGAAAAACGCCCTGCACATTAGCACAAACATTACACTGGGCTGGTCTTTCCTATCTTTTTCACCTTCACCCTTGGCTGGGCAGCGAAGGACCATACATGGGCAGAAAACGCTGAGGTCAATGGAAAATAAAAAGAACAGAGAACAGGGTTTGTTTGGCATGCCACGCTATCTTGAACAAACTGATAAAAACAGACAAGCTGACCAAAGCGAAATGGCACCAAGTTCCTGCTGGCATCCAAGTTGATATGAAATCCGACTCAATCCCGTGATAAAAACATTCCGATCGTGCCTGTGGCTCTCAAAAAACCCTTTTTCTGCATTCAGAGCATGTTCTATTGTCAGCTAAAAGAACATTGTTATCGATTAGCAGGGAATGCCAAACCCACATACCAATAATGACCTCGTGGGCAGAGAGGAAAGGCCACAAGGAGGCAAGTATTGTGATAGCTCAGAGGCCAAGTATGCATTAAAGGAAAGGACACGCGGGAGAGAAAGGGGTCAATATCTGGAGCTCGTTTAAGGAAGGAAAGGGGGAATGTTTTGGTGGGAAAGCTGTAGGTGTAACCACACTAGGCTAGCTGTGTTAAAGAAGTGGAGTGTCACCCAGAGGCCCCATTGAGACCCCATCAAGTGTGCAAAATCCCAGAGAGGGCCGGTCAAGGTCACCAAAGGTCACATACCAGAGGGGGGACCAAAAGAAAGAAGAAAAGGAGGAGGAGAAGATACTTTGAGGAATGTAACAGACTGTAAGGCCCAATCAGGCCGCCATGTTTTGTTCCAACCCCTTCTCACACCAAAATGTGGAACGGTGGAATAGCCAGAACCCCGAATATAACCGTTATGCTGCTTAAACAGAGAACCGCTCCAGCCTACAAATGTGTCTGCAAATGGTTGTGACGTGTTGCACAAACTAAAGTGTGATTGTACAGACAACAATCTGCTCTGAGATTAGCATCCTTTAACAAATCCTGCCGTATGTCAGACATGCAGTTAAACCAGCTCTTACTGCTTTTTGCTCATTCTCACCATTCGTATGGACCAACTGGCCTGAGTGGAGGGGGGCAGGGTGCATGTTTTTGTATGTGGGTGGCATCAAGCATTCAATGTTGATGTTAATCACACTAAAAATGATTAATCAGAGCAACAAAACAGAAGCAATGTAACGCATGTTTGGGCAAAACAATTAAAGACATGTCTTTTTTGCATAATGTCTCCTCACATTTATGCCTAGAACAATCTAACTATCAAGAAAGGAAAACTTTCAATACAGTGTCTCTGGAACTTTAAAAATTATTTTATCGCCCAACTAAATCTAAATACATCCCGTTTGCAACACGTGTAGACATGAATCATCAGCAAATATGGATCTACCTACGCTGCAGGGCTTACCTAATCATGCTTGCAACACATCCAGCTCCCCTGGTCAGCTAATTCATAGACAGTTAATGGGAAAGCATCAGAATGGAAGGGGCGTAACATGGATCTCACTCAAACTGGGATTTGGTGCCTTCCAGCTCAGCGAGTCTCCTCATAACACACAAATCCTACTAATTAAAGTCAAATTCTGTTCTAACAACAACACATGGATTCACCATTTAAGTCTCAGTGGCTCCAAAAGGAGTCTGCACTCAGATTTCCCCATTAGCTCACACTGGCAACAACCTGGAGAAGTGTTCAAAGACACAAGAGAGTCTGGCGTGCATCTGTATTATTATCGGGGGCGGGAAACTGTCTCTTTGATCAAACAGGATTGATCCTCTTTGGGAAGTGTCTCTGGGATTCATCCTGGAAAAGTGACGACCCCCCCCCCACACACACACACACACACACATTCGGGATAATAGCTGCCATATCCCAGGAGAAGCTAAGTGGCTAACAACTCTCATTTCCGTACGCTAAACAGAGGGATAGGACAGGTAAATCACAGCCTTCCGGCTCCCGCTAACAGCACACAAACACAGGGCTAACCTCAGCAAGGTAGCGCTCCCGAAACAGAGATACACGAGTGTTTGAAGTTGAGCTGCTCGCTGGAGAAACTACTTACCGACTCTGAGAAGACGGAGGCAGTGGATAACATCAACACGAGGCACAGGGTGAGCATGGCTGTTCTTCCAGGTAGTTCACAAAAACAAGCGGGAATGTCGCCCTAAACGTTAGCTTAACGGGGATTTGTAGCTTTAAAAAAAACAGCGAGCTGAGCGTCTTCAGTGTCCCGCCGCTGTGTTCCAGTATAGTCCAGCAAATAACACACAGTACAGCCGTCCGCCTCTCGGTACCGTCAACGTTTCTCCCGTAAAGTTTCTTTCGTTCGCTGCTGCTGCGCTTACTGAATAGCCACCGGCTTGTCTGGTCTTTTTTACTTGAGTCTGTAAACCAATCATCGGCCAGCGTACGTATGACGTGTGGAAATCAGCACATTCCACAGGCTAGGCTTGTCCGCTGACTCCGCCCATTTCACTTTTTCTTTTATTGTTTACCTCAGTTATTTTTTTTAAAACGCCATTTTTAAGTGAATGCATGAATGAAAAACTCAGTACAAATATATTTAAAACGAGAAAAACAAAAATATATTAACAGTGATAATAAAACGTAATGAATCAAATAATTATAAATAAGTAAAAACATAATATTCACTTTGTTTTCTTTCTTTTAGGTCTTTTTTGTGTATTACTTTTACACATATTTATAAATATTCATTTTTTAAAGAAACACAACAGGGACTGGAAAATAAAATAAGCGCTGAATGAATGAATATTACTTATTTTTTTAAATGAATAATTCTAAAGGATTTGTAAGCGCAGCTTTTGTCTTTCATGTTTAAATACTGAAAAAGTGTATTCATATTCGTGTTTGATCTTTCCTTACTGAAGATAGCTGTGTAAAGGGTGTCTGTGGCTAAAGTGGGTCGTAGATAAATCGGTGGTTTGATTACTCTATCTGCATGTGGTACGATGAATGCTGACAAAGGCTCATATTTATCAGCTGGGCATCTATAAATCATGGAGCTAGTGATAACTAGTGTATAACGGCGTCATTGCAGTTATAGTGTTTTATGTTTTATGTTGTGGTTAACAATGACACAAGTTGACGTCCCCAAAGTCACAAAGACAGAAATCACAAAAGTGACCAAATGGTTGAAACTCTGGAGCAAAGACGCTGAAGAGGACACAGCTGAATGGTGTCCATTTTCAAAATTCAAGAAGCAAATGGGGTTTTTAGTTTCTCCGCGGGGACAAATACACACATCCTGTTGTTTTTATCCACTTTTGTTCCATTTATCTGCTACATCTGCTAAGTGTCTCTGCAAGAAAGATGCGGAGGGTTGCCGCCCTGAGAGATTTAAAATGGCTTCCTAATGTAAATCTGCAAAACATTTGGGGTAATTATCATCTCTGTGGTATCACCGAGAGACTTAGGACTTAGACAATCTAGATTAATCCTTGTGCGCCGAATCAATCAAAAAGAGGGTTTCAATCAACAGCTGCTGTTGTTCATCGTCATTAATTCCAAGATAAGAAGCTGATAATGAGCCATTGTATAACCACAGAGACCCACAGGGAGTCATCTTATCTGACACAGTGTGCTGAGGTCTGAGGGACTCAATAGGTCTGATTTGTGTTTTACACTTCCTGGTGCTCCAAACTTTTTCAAAACCATATTTGAAAGAAATTGAGACGCATTCATTCAGCGTTGAGCTTTGCTTGTTTCCAGTAAGGGGGCGTCACTGCCAGCAGCGGCTTTCTGCTGCTTCATGGAAATCTCTGAGTGACGACATCTTCCGCTAAACTTCCTCCCTCCCCTTTCACTTTCTTTCCACGGGTCTCTCGAGGCTTAAAGCATAGATGAGTTCACTATTTCATCCTTGGAAACCGGTTCCGGGATTTCTAACCGTTTTCTTGTTGTCCTTTCGTGTCGAGGTTGTTTTATGACCTGTTGCGTTACACGTTTTCACTTTTCTTCCGGTTTGCAGTGTCGGGGACGAGCTTTGTGTGTAACAGAGCCTGAGCTTCATGTGTGTTTGCGTGTCGTGAAGTGATTTTTTATGATACTTTATGAAATCTAAAATTCCTCCTCAGAGTGTGAGAGTAAACTTCAGGCCTCATGTACTTCACACTACTGAGAAACTGAAAATGTTTTTGTTGTGTTTCGCACACATGGTTAGTTAGATTATTTTAACCCGGATAAAATGAAAATGTAAAAAAAACAAAAAAAAGCATTTATTTTCTATTTTATTTTTATTTTATATCTTGCGTAACTGTTTTAAAGGCTTCTCTGTTGCAGACTGCAGTGAAATGGAAAAACTTGCCACATGTCAATAAGTGAAGCACACATAGAGCTAAAAATGCTAAAAAAATGATGTGAATGTTAATGAGACATAAAACAGGTTTCATATTAATAAAAACATCAAGATTATCAGAGTGTGTGAGTCTCATTCTTGGAAATTACCCTGATGTTGTTTATGTTTGAAATCAGTTGCGGGGATTTCCTTGTGTTTTTGAAATGTTCTAACCCACTGAACAAAATTAAAGACGAAACAAAAGAAAGACACATTTCCAGATTAGAAAAGATAACACACACACACACACACACACACACACACACACACACACACACACACACACACACACACACACATATTTACAGACAGGCTGAACCGGGAAAACCCGGCCATGTGTGAAAGCTGTCTGCCTTTGTTTGCTCATATTTATGCAAATTTGATCAGGATATATTAGGTGCAGACACGGAGGAAAAGTTTTAATATAGACGCTGTTAAAGATGCATTGTTTGGGTTAACTAAAACAGGAAGTGGGATTTTCCTGTTGGTGACGTTGGGTCAGCTCAGGATTGATGGATGGGTGAATGAATCCCCCATAAGTCTTTGAAAATTGAACCATTTACAAAGTGTGAGTCATATCTTTATCCAACTATCTAAGACTGTGGGTAAACTGTCGGTTTGGGGTTTTACTCACCTCACAGTCAGATCAGATCAGCAGCTGCATAAACAAGATAAAGCAGGTAAAGTCCTGCTCAGCAGGACCACAAGCAGCTGATAATACACAACAAGCTTCTGTTAACACAGCCACACACAATGATATAGGTCTCCGTGTAAAAGACCCCAAAGCATCCTTCTTGGAGTTTTAGCATTTCTTTTTTGGGTTAGGGCTCATGTGGGACACAGACTAGAGATTATTTTTCCTTTATCAGTTATCAGATATTAGATTAGCTGACTGCACAGTCCTAAAATCTGTCAGTTTTACAACTGGACTTCTAGTTGTTCTGTGCTGACATCATCAGAAGAAGGCAATTTGGGGAAATTAATGGCAACCCGAGCTGTGTGTGTGATCAGCCTCGTCTCAAGGCAAACTGTGAAATAGTCTTCTTCAATGATGCACATTGTTGCTGTTTTGTGACAGATAATGCACCATAGGAGGTACAGTTTGTGTCTGCAGCACATAAGTTGTTAGCGCCTTTAGAAAAGACATGAAAATGTGACAACCAAGAACAGCAACGCAAGAAAAAATACCCCAAAAACAAAAATATGGCTGGAATGTTTCAAGTTGCCAAAATGGGTAAGGAGCAGGATGTATCTATACTATATATGTATATGTATCTCGTATACTATACAAGACAAACATTTAGAAGCTGAATCGCCATCAGCTGGTGAAAAATAACTCTAATGTAAAGTAATGTTGAGACGACATCAAGACGTGACCTCAGAGTCGACTCGAGGCGGTTACTGAACGCTGTCTGGAAGGCCGTGTTAGACGTTCCGACAGGCGATGATCTGATCAGGCCTCTGATCTACGTGGAAAACATCTGTCCAGCTACGCTTCAGTTTTTCTTTGGTCACGCCCAGCTTTTTGAGGAAGATGATGTCAAGCTTTCAGCCAGTGTTTTCGAGCACTAACTGAACACAGATGTGGCACCAACAGGGCAGGAAAGGAAACAAAAGTAGGAATTATAATTAACCGAAGCCCGAGTGGAAATAGAGATAAAAAACTGAAACAGGAAATGACTTCACAAATCCGGGCTTTTGGCTCATACAGGCTAAACCAAACCGCACAGATCTTATTCACTAAAGCTAACCGAGTTCTGTCGACCTAAACGTAAAAGAAAAGGCGAGACCTTTAGTTGGCTCATGTAGAAGATGCACAATGAACATAGTCTAGTTCGGTAACTCGGCTGAACCACAGAAGAATACAACAATAAATGGTAAATGGCCTGTATTTATATAGCGCTTTACTAGTCCCTAAGGACCCCAAAGCGCTTTACACATCCAGTCATCCACCCATTCACACACACATTCACATAAGGGCTGAACGAACAAACACAAAGGACGAGAAAAAGGAAACAAGACCTCGACATCAAAAGAGACTAACCGTAAAAAAAATTAGAACAAAAGATTATCAGATCGAGGATTAACAAGAAGTCGCAGACAAACCACAAGCAAGACAGAGGAGCACAGCCTGACACTGACACTACAATAAAGGAATCCAAACAAAAAGCAAAACTCAGGACTTCAATTCAGTTTTATTTATATAGTGCCAAATCACAACAACAGTCATCTCAGAGCAATTTATACTGTAAAACTCCCTTTTAACAGAAAGAAGCCTCCAGCAGAACCAGGCTCAGGGAGGGGCAGCCATCCACCCCGAGCAGTTGGGGTGAAGGGAGTAGGACGGGTGTATAAACACATGGACGATCTGATATCAGATCGTGCATAAACACATAGTGAGTGAGGGACTAGAAAGAGAGAGCATATTTCTCCTGTTTTGGCTTCCCTTCATTGGCTTCCTGTTAAATCCAGAATTCAAAATCCTGCTCCTCACATACAAGGTCTTAAATAATCAGGCCCCATCTTATCTCAATGACCTTGTAGTACCATATCACCCTATCAGAGCACTTCGCTCGCGCTCTGCAGGCCTACTTGTTGTTCCTAGAGTATTTAAAAGTAGAATGGGAGGGAGAGCCTTCAGTTTTCAGGCCCCTCTTCTGTGGAACCAGCTTCCAGTTTGGATTCAGGAGACAGACACTATCTCTACTTTCAAGATCAGGCTTCAAACTTTCCTTTTTGCTAAAGCATATAGTTAGGGCTGGACCAGGTGACCCTGAATCCTCCCTTAGTTATGCTGCAATAGACATAGGCTGCCGGGGGATTCCCATGATGCATTGAGTTTTTCCTTTCCAGTCACCTTTCTCACTCACTATGTATTAACAGACCTCTCTGCATTGAATCATATCTGTTATTAACCTCTGTCTCTCTTCCACAGCATGTCTTTTATCCTGTCTTCCTTCTCTCACCCCAACCGGTCGCAGCAGATGGCCGCCCCTCCCTGAGCCTGGTTCTGCCGGAGGTTTCTTCCTGTT